AATTAGTTTCCCATTAAAGATCTTGTAAGATCTTCACTCACATCTTGTAGTAGTTTATCTTGGGGTTCTTGGGCTCTTCGATATTTGAGACCATACAAAATATCAATTAGTACTACAGACTAGTAGACAGTATTTAGGTACTATTTAACAACAAAGTGATGTAGCTGATGTGCCTACAAATTGTCACGAGGGCCTGTTCGAACACGCAATGGCCCAATTTTTCGGAGAGCCTATTAATTAATATGAGTATTCATCTCGAGTGCCGGCACTCCGGTTGCTAGGCAACGGACCTGGGCTGGGGCTCCTATTAATTACAGGCCTTCCAGGAAATACGAGCGGATAGGGTTGCCAGGTCCAAAAAGTAAAAACACAAAAGCCGGACTCGGTGCTTCATTTGGTCGGATATTTTTTTTATCCACAACGAGGCAGCTCTTGGCCTGTTGTATCTCACCTGATGGTAAGTAACGATCAGGCCGAAGGTGGAAGCGAGCTTCACCCGAAATCCTAAACCACGGAGGAACTGGCTATCTTACCTCTTAACTGCCGGAACACAACAATGCTGTTAACATTGTTGTTATGGCGACAGACTTAGGTAAGATGGTGGTAGCTAGCCAGGCGGACTTAGAACAAGCCCTACCACCAACCAAACCGAACAGAAAAATCTGCACCCACTGGAAATCAAACCCGGGACCTCTGCGTCTGAAGTAGGTGGTATTAACACTAGACCACAGAGGCGGTTGGCTGGCGGAGGGCACATTTAACCCTAAAAGCCGGTATCATCTTCGTACTTCGACTATCAACTATCACTTCGTATTGGTAGCCCAAGATCCCATGCCCATGTGTGTTCGATTTATTCTGTGGCTCGACTTTCGAGAGAACATTTAGCCGGACAGGTCCATAAAAAGCAAAACACGTCCGGCTAAAGCCGGACACTTGGCAACCCTACGAGCGGGTGACCTTCCCCGCCCGAATAATTTCATTTCTGGACGTATTATAGCTATTTCTTTATACGTTGTTTCATTCTTTCTTATTAGCTTGATATAATTATTTGCACGTAGATTTATTTCGCCCAGATTTCATTTTGCTAAGCATTCTCCGAAATAGGTTAATCTTTGTTTAGTAGTTAACCTAATATTAATATTTGTGTCGTGTCGTGTGCTCATTTCGTCGTTGTGGTGCGTAGCAATATAACTGCGCAACATTATTGATCTAAATTATTTTTTATGATTTTCCTTTTATTGCCTTCTGTTACTTGTTTTTCATTTTTACCTTGTGTAGATGTTCTTTCAACGCGAAGCAATGGGTTTCCTTCTTTTATTATCTACTCACATTACTTTTACATTGATATTCAGTTTCTTCACAAATATTTTCTTCGTGTTCTGAATTTATCTTTTTATTATCCATTTAACTGTTTCAAGTACATCAGCGTATAAGCATGTCGCAATAAAACTTTAATGAATCTCGTGTTAGATCGGATCTCAAGCCCCAAGCTCCGGAACGTGCTCCATTGTCTTATATGCTTATTTTTAATTACTTCTCATCATCATTACCATCGCGTCTCAGCGTGTTGCTAACCATAAACCTATTTTAAAATCTTTTAATTAATTGGGAACCTGCACTGGGTTTCAAAGACAAGGACTAAAGCACTTGTTTTTTCCATCCATCATCAGAGTGCGGAGAAGAATTCCTTTCCTCTCTTCTGCAGTTATGAAAGTCGAAACTTGGGATTATTCTACCACAGCTCAAATACGAACGATTTTGTGGTTCCTCAAAACTTCGAAGTAAAACTTCAAATCTATGTTTAAAGATAATAATTTAGTTAAACGTGTCGGCTGTGGGCTGGTCTTTTATTATACTCGTCTTGCAAATAAGAATCTAGAATCACGAGCTATCGTGTCTCCAATCATTATGTAAATTGTTAGCATAACTCGTACAATGTACAACATACTGAATGTTATTTCGAAATACATCAACACTGGCGCAGGCAACATGCATCGACAGGTGATCATGCATGAGTAATCACTGTGTCGGTAATAATAATGTCGCTTTATGTATGTGCGTCACATCGTCTGAAATAACCGGTATCTTTATTTATTCTAACTTCAGGCTGAGAGTGACCGGTTTTGTCTTTCTATGAGTGATTTGTCGCCATTTTCTATTCTAAATAGGAATGTAGATGCTTGTGAATACATATTTGTTATCTTAGAGACTTTATACAGACGGATGTCATGCTCTGAAGTTTAATCGGAAAATCATTTTCGATTTTGGTTTACCCATCCTTTTTGGATATGGAAAGGTCTAACGAAAAAGTTAAAAAGGGTGTGATGTGTGCGCGGATCCTCTATTTGATAACTTGTTAGGACTTTCTCAATAGTCTTAGGACCCTTCTCAACAGTCCTAGGACCTTCTCAACAGTCCTAGGACCTTCTCAACAGACCTAGGACCTTCTTAACTGTCCTAGGACCTTCCCAGCAGTCCTGAAATCCGCTCAATACTCCTATTTTAAGTTACAAATCGTCAACATTCAAAGAGCATGTCTAATTGCGTCGCTGTGTGCGTGAGCTGCGCCCGCGCACTCAACGACTCAGACGGCGCGACATTATCTCGNAATCAGCCGACGAAATACCACATCTCACTTTAAAAAAACGTTATTTTTGTTTTCACCCACCAGAATGGGTGATAATGGGTAAAAACCGGGTTTTTACCCAAATCACCCAGTTTTAACCCAATCGGGTGAAATGGGTTTTAACCCACTACCCATCTCTACATACCGCCCGCACACCCACATCGGACATTGTATTTGTAATACAAGCCCACACAATCGCGCCAAACGAGGACAAATAGGTTCCGATGAATTTGGTTTGTCTCAATCAAGTATCTAGGGCGATACGGATTCTGTTCGTTTCAAGATATTGTCCGAGGATTGAAATTCTTTCACCATGAGTAAGTAAGGTATATGAAACTTGTTTCCAATGTTGCTTCATGTTAGTATACAAAAGTTCTTTACATTTCAATCATCTTCTCGATGGTACTGTCCTTTTAATTATTTGTCTCTACTAGAGGTCTCTAGTCTCTACTAAATGTAATTTATTCAAATAGGTACATTTGTTTCTACGTTCTATCAATGAGCTGTTCTCTGAAGATGTCGCAATTTGTTCAAACATGGGATTTGCCAATAAATCTATCAGAATGCAACAGTCAAATGCCAGGTCAGAACCTTTGTTACATAGCAGGTAGATTTAAATTCCCTAGCAGTCACAATGCTAGCGGTTCCTCGGAGAATAATGTAGAAATCTAGACAATGGGTTGTAAAGTCCGTTTCTGTGGGCAAGGAATCTGGGTGCGGTTATATAACTGTCTACCGCAGAGAAATCTTCACTATAATTTAGTTTTTTAACGTTCGGTTTCTTGCTGTCAGGAATGGAAATAGTATTGTGAAAACTAGCATTTACTTTTTTACCTTGTAGTGTAGGTACGTATACTTACGCTTACGAGTGGTCATTCAGTCCTGCCTATATCTAAAAAAAAAATCATCCATTTTGTTGGTTTCTAATTCTTTAGAAAATACAGAATAACATAAAATATCTTAGTAATGTTAGCCTTTTTAAAATTATTCATTTATGTTCCGTGCTTCACATTCATACAAATCCATTGCAGCGTCACGCACGCCAAAATGGCGTCGTGTTTTAGTGTCCTCATCTCCGTAACTGCTTGAATCATACTCGTTGTATCATTTTATTAACTAAAATCTTAATTTAGATCACAGTATAGCGTGATTATCACTTGTATTATCTTCATCTTATCTAAAATTGAGATCGAAATTGATATTTTTTTAAAGTGTTTGTCATTCATAATTTGGTAGTTTTGGTACCTACGATTGATGATCATATACCATCAGCATCACCATGCTCTTCTCCAAAAAAACTTTTTCGAAATTTTTTCTTGTACGTGAAAATCTATGTTTGGACTTTGAAAATGACGAAGTGCTAAATTCGAAACCCTCGCAGTATCTTTAACGTTAAATTCTGTTATCACCTCAAAAATACCTATAATCGTATTTTATTTCACCTTAATAACTAAATAATTTTAAAAGCCAATGAAATCCACGAGGCATCTAAGCACTAAGACCACTAAGATCATGTTGAGCGTCAAGGACGAAAAATCTCGAAATTTAAAATAAATTAATCACGAATTAATCAATTAGCAGGATTTTCCTCCTGATGAAGATTTTGTTGAACTCAAACGTGTTGGAAAGTAAAGAAATTTTTTCATTGACTTCGATTTCGACGTGCAATTTTACTAAGTCCCAAATAAAGTTTTTTTTCCCTCAAATATAATTATTCCACATTCATTTATAGTTCACGACGCTCACGATTGAAATTTTGATCGAATAATTAGAATTCGTCATTATTTTGTGACAATTTTGAAATAGACGAAAAAACACTTCACTCGTGATTGCATGTCTAAAATTTTCTATTTTTTTTTTGTTTCAGGTAATTGCTGTCACGAATAGAATAAGCAAGTTCTGCCAAGTTTATTTTAAAGTAAAATTAATCAATTTTAAAAAAAAATTATTTTTATGGACTTGTAAAATTTTCGCCGAAACACCACAAATATCACATCTTCAAAAACTTTCACAACCAGTATTTTTGTTTGTGCTATCGTTTTACGTGATAATTTCGTATTGATCTACATTATTTTATGTATTATTTTTATTATCTCTTTCTTTGCTTTCCAACATTTTTGAAGTTTTACAATATGATTTTACATCGATGGTACGTTTAGCACTTATCTTAACTTTTGCCTAGTTATTAAATTTACTGCGACTTGTCATTTCATCGCGTTCGCATTAACTATCAGGAAGTCACTATCTGCTTCGATCACATCTTCGTCAGCCAAACATTCTACGTTTCTCGAAGCTTGTGCACGTGTTCCCCGCTAGACGTCTCCGGCAAGACTGCCGCGAAATTCATTCAACAAGCCGAGAGGATGTGGGCGGGGCGTGCGGGACGCGACGTCATTGGGCGAACGGCCGCAGCGCAATGATGGCCGCCGACGCATTCGGCCAATGAGCAGTGCGCGAGCCGAACGCGCGGTCCGTCCGGCGACCGACGCGACGTTGCCAGCTTTTCAGAAAAAAATACCAGATTCGACCTTCTTAGGACCCCCGGTTTTTTTTTGTTTGGCCGCGTTATCATTCGGGAACGTGTATTGAGGTCCTTATCCGTACGTGAGATGGTGCGCTCTGTTCGCAGGTGGACTAGTGTTGTAGTGTTTTAGTGTATTATGGTGTGGTCTACGCCATCGGGAGAGGTGCTCATTGACGTCGTCACAAGGTACCCATTGGTTCTCGTTGCCTAAACCGCGGTTGAGTCATGTGACAGCGTGGCTGCCGCCTCGTGGACTGGAGATGACGTGTCTGTTATCACCAGCCAGTTACGACACTCGATATCTTGTTAAATCGGTAATAGAGGTAGGTGTTTTGTCTATTTACCTCTGGGATCAATGAGTGCTGGCTCCTTATCGGCGTGTGCCATTGAACAGTCGCCTTGTAGTATGACATGATACAGGAAGTGGTGTGTTACCTTACCTACAGAATACAGTAGTATACTCCAAAGTGCACAGAAGCCTCTATTCAGTTCTTAGAATTGTGCTACCCTTATGAGACTGACGGAAATAACTCTCCACATTAACATTTCATGTCCATGGCTCGGAACAGTCGGAACAACACGATGCCTTTATATGAAACGATGTAGGCGTGGGTTTAAAGTCTAAACTCTTTCCTGATATTCCTGTATTTGAGATTACTTGTTTAATAAAGTTTCATCATCATCATCAGCCCTTTACAGTCCACTGCTGGACTATGAGCCTCCTCCACTATAGTGTTTAGTCACTTATTTTGAATGACCAATCAATCAATTCTCAATAGGCTTCGAGAATCCCTAAAGGGACATTGATAGAAAGAACGGGAATTAAATCAAATCCTGATTGAGCCCACATACTTTCTTCTGCAAACAAAGGCACCTGCATGTGACACCATTAAGCTTATCACGTCACACATTAGATAACAATGATCCAGTTCAAGGTAGTTCACATTATCTGGCGCAAGATACCTACCTACTTGCTCAAAACAAAACGTCCTTTCTATTTAAATTTAAAATTTTACTTAAAGATGGGAACCCTTAATGGTTACTTAGCTATCTTGAGATTTATCTTAGTAATACTTATAGCCCCTTCAGTAAAAATATTTCACAATAGAAAGCCACAGTGGAAAATTTCCTACTTTCTAATCTAGGCCAGTCTTCAGACTGTCAGCTTTATCTTGCATTCGTAATCATAACTGACTCGGTGGTTGCGTGTACTTTGTGACCGAATCCCAGAAGTTGTGTTAGGTACCTACTTTCTACTCGAACAATCGGCGGAAACGTTATAACGTACGACATTCCGTGGAATTTCTTTAGGAAGAATGTTCCAGGATGGCTAGTCGTCAGTACTATCCTATCAATTTGACAAACTGAATTCCACGCCGGTGAAGCCGCGAGCAAACGCCAGTATTTTTATAATCCACGATCTTTCTCAATTCATCGCACGAAAAAATCAAGACAAAGAAAATCTTTTATTGGTTGCGTCGAATTTTTGGAATACTTCCAAAACACATTAGTGTCGTAATCTCGAAATTCCTAAGCAAGAGAATGCTTCAAAGGTAACAATCTCCTTGTAGACCCAGATCCTGTGGGAAGGTCTTATCCTTGGAACCTTCGAAATCCCTTCGGTTGTCAGATAAACAACGTTACTAAGCGGACCATTTATCTTGGTTGCTCTTGCTGCCATCTTGTTTCTCTACGCCTCGTACTTTTATCGTTGAAACGCATAATTTTGATTTATTTATTGCAGAAAATTTTACTGTTATGAATTCTTGGATTATCAAGTGAATTGCATGTTTTATATTTGAAAATGTACCTTCCTTGATACTGTTCGAATTGGACCATTTCCAAGCTGTATAAAAATTAAATTATGAATTGAAATTAGATTCTCGTAATTGTTATTGTAGTTAAATTTCGTTACAATCTCAATATAATTATTAATTTCGATGTAGCTCTTAACCCAGTTATCCCAATCGCAATCCAAATTGTGCTCTAATTCTATATGAGTAACATCGNCTATTTTTCTAAACAGGAATGGCTGGACGCACAGGACTTTTGTCTATGTGTGCGTGCCTCTTATACATTGACGTATTAGCGGTAATGACTTTTCGTTTGATTGGTGTGTTAGTTGACTTGTTTTCGAGGATTTTTAAAAGGAGATCGGCAAAATGGACGCGAATTGGGCGATGGACGCGAACAGGCGAAATGACCCTACTTCAATTAGATATCGTTTGTAGGTGTTCGAATAGTGTTTAGTTGTATTATTAGTTAGTAAGTAGGTAGTTGAGGTTGATTGTTGAATATATTTTTACTACGTGTATTGATACCCTGGGCTCGAATTAAATCTTACATGAATATCAGTCCGGAATGTTCTGGGAACCATTATCGTTATTTAAAGTGTTTTTCCTGTCCATGACATGACAGACGTGTCTTAGTCTGCTTTGTGTTACCGTTTAAAATGCCTGACGGCTCCAAGACTCCTACGCCCAGGAACTTAATCGGAGAAATCTATCAGGCTTGCCCTGAATAGCAAGGATTAAGGCCGATCCATAAAAACGTCACTATGATAAAGTATTAAGAAGGGTCGGAAGACTGGATACTTTCCAAATTGCATACATTTTCTACATAAAAGGGATTTGCGTAAGATACGATCTTCTAGCGATTTATTATCGGACGCCATATTCTCTGAGCAGGTGCGGACATCCTGTTACAAAGGCTAGGTGTGTCCATGCCGGCATGGACGGAGAACAGTTCAAACCAGCCGCAGCCGATAGTTGAAAATTACATTCACCGCCAATTTCCAGCTCCATCCGGATGCTAGCAACAATTTTTTAAGTATTACACTTTGGACAAGGATGTTCGGTTAATTCCAGCGTGGCCCACACGTTATGCCCCGCTGAAGGTCAATACGTCCGCACAGATTAACGATAAATAAAATCCGCGATTATGGTGACCTTGACCGTCGCAAAGTCAGCTGAGCTATAGGTACATTGCGGACATTTACATATACATGTAGGAATACTAGAATTTATTCCGCAGCCGGACGGAGTTATCGGTACAAAGATATTGCGCAGTGCGAACTGTTAAACGATACGCGTGTGAAATTGTTTCGGAATGAACCGGCTAGCGGCTGCGCCGCCATTTTGTTCGAACAGGAGAATTTCTCATATCAAATAACGGTCAACAGAAAAACAGACTGCTTTTTAACTTAACACATATTAAAAAAGTAGGTCTTACTTCTAACTAAAGTCGCTGACAGCCCGACGGATTAGCAAGTTGAAGTGGCAATGGGCAGGGCACATAGTAGGTACGCAGAACTGACGGCCGATGGGGCAGCAAAGTTCTGGAATGGAGGCCGCGTACCGGAAAATGCAACGTGGGACGTCCACAAGGTGGACCGACTACATCATAAAGGTAGCAGGGAAGCGCTGGTACCAATAGATCAACGTGGAAAGCATTGGGGGAGGCCTATGTTCAGCAGTGCACGTCCTATGTCTGAAATGATGATGATGATGATGATGAGGTCTTCACTTCAGAAAAACACAAAAAAAAATTCAAGAGTATTTGTTGCAATAAAATAGCTAGCATATTCCAATCACAATTTAATATTGTGTGATTGAGCGTGACATCCATTTTGTGATAATGAAATGAGGCCGGTGGGAGACGTGAACAATCGCATTATTAGACTCAGTTCATCCAGCGGTAATCAGGGGCAATCGGGGAGATGGGTTAATGAACCTCACTGGGATTGGACTGGGATTTAGGGTTAGAGACAACGTTAAGCAATTTATAAGAGAGAAGGTTGGAAGGTTGGAACATTGTGCTTAGATGAAATATGAGCGTGAAATGCTCCATTTCTAAAAAAAATGGTGGATCTTTTAGTTGGATACGGTCACACGGTGTAAGAAATAAATTCCACATGAACTCGTCATTGTAAACTCATAGGTATATCAGTCAATCATATCCTGGCAAGTGTCTTGACATCCTTTTGATAATCTTGCAATGTGCAACACTCTCCATCTCATCTTGGTCTGCAATTCCTCATTGAAATATGAGCGTAAAAAATGCTCCATTTCTAAAAAACGGTGGATTTTTAGTCATAAAATCCACGTGAATTCGTCATTGCAATCATATCCGGGCAAATGTCATGAAATTGAAATCCTTTTGATAATCTTGCAATTCCGAATTCCGCCAAAACCGTAATGACCAAGTTACCAAGTTACATCAACTAACCCAAATAAAGCTGCATCTATTCTGTAAGCGCTAGTAAATCCCGCGCTCGAAAATGGCACAACAGTACTGACCCGATTTCTCTTTTCGCACACTTTTGCCGCTGCAGTCTCGCCCGGTGACTCCAACAAAAGCGTCTTTGTAGTGTAAAATTGGACACGGAATACGTACCTCCGGCGAAAATGGCCCATCGATTTTATTCATTGAAATGGCTAACAAAATTCCGGAAACTGACTCCGAATTTCGCCATCACACGTTCATTCATTTCGATATTTTGCATTGAATTCAAAACGTTTAACACAAATGACTTACTACGTAACATTTTGATAAAGGACAAAAAATCGAGTCGTTAAAGAAAACTTTTCTTTGTGTAATTAAACGAACAAACTTTAGGCACGAGTTAGGCAGTATAAGTTTGATGTTCGAAGAAAGAAACACGCGAAAGAAAAATAACTCAAACAGCTATTTGTTTTAGTAAATGGAAGAAAAACAACAATTTGCATTCTGCCAACAAAACTTTTGGCATGTTAAAGTTCTATCAGACGAACAATTCAAAATGAGGAAGCGAACGACCATTACGTTTTATTTTCCATGAATAATTTCAGACACTATATGGACGTATAAACCATAAACCTACTTACATGTCCCAATTCATGTCACAACAAACTATAAAGATTGGTAACTTTACTACTTCCGCCATCCTTTGACATACACGATGTATTATTATCAGATATCGAATGTTTCAGGTCATTCATGGCCTCAGATCATAGAAAGAGAATAGATATGAAGTCGCGCGTAACTACAACGAGAACCAGTGTCCCCACATTTCCCCCACCACAGCTCCCACACACACATTCAACTGTGTAAAAACAAAGCGACTGAGAGTCTACGACAACATGTGCAACCGGCTTAAAAGTGCTGTGATTGGCCAGAAGGCGTGCCTTATGGCCAATCAATGGCCG